ATATATATATATATATATATATATATATATATATATATATATATATATATATATATATATATGTATATACACAGGGTGTCCCACCACTACCGCATTATCTTTTAAGGGCGGATTCCTGAGATAATTTGAAGAAAAAAATCCTAATGCAAAAATGTTGAGGCTATAATACTTTTCAAATTATGAACGATTAAAGTTAACCAATTATACTGGCTAAAGTACGCCAATATATATAGATATAGATTCACGAAATGTCTGATGAAATATACATGAATCACACACACAGAAATTCTGATTAAAGTTACCAAAATTCTATTGAAGTTAACAAGATCTCTGGTTGCAAGCAGAACTTGCAACTGTTAAAATTGAAGAGTCACAAATTCCAGTTAACCAAAATCTTGTCAACTCTTGAACAGAATTCTTGTAGCTTTTAAATTCTGGTTTGCGTTCATGTCTCAGACACTTCGTTAATCCAACCAAATCTTTTCTTCTCCGTGTGATAATAAAATAAATTTTCCTCGAGTGTGAGTGAACTACATATAAAATGTCGTGTCGGTTTTATGTGAAGATTCATTAACCAACATTGTGAATAATGAGGAAAAACGGCTCGAAAATACGTCGACGAGAGATGCGACCTTTTGACTCTTTACAGACTTCGAAGTGTTTAGAATGCGACCCGCTTTGTATCAATGATTTATACATATCAATGAGGTCGTATATGCTATCAGAAGTGCTGCTTCAAAGTGCCTGATAAATTACACCCTAGAGATATGAATCCATTTTCAAATATTTCTTCACAAAGAAAGTTCACTCAGTTTTTACATTAATTCGTCTAAATTCGGAGAAACCATTAGTTGTCTTCGCTCCAAATTTCTATGTGAAACGACGATTTGACTCTCCTTGCGATCGTTTAGCAGAGAACTCTGCAGTTCTCGTTATTCCTCTCGTCACAGAGAGAATAGAGGATTTTTGTACAGACGATCTTACAGTAAGCCTACGATACTGTTAGACATCGCGACACTCTTCGGCCTCCACTGTACGCGCAAATCGAAACTAATAATATCCAAATTATTGCGAAGTGGTGCGTTAGTCGGTGTGTATGATAGATATTACATCCGAAATGATGCATTCTCTCGTAGAAGAGTACCTTTGCGCGAGGAGATGTGTGTTACCGGTTACAATTATCCCTTAACTATTCAGGTAGGTTGAACTTTCCTAACAGAGCGGAGCGTAGAATACTCGCTCGGAGTGCACCGATTTGGGAGATTTGCAATGACTCTCCTTCACTTCTTATCGAGTATCGCGATAACATGCTAATACAAGAGCGACGAGGATGAAAATATCCTTCGAAAGCAAAATACAATACATTACTCGCAATCACATTCTCCGCACATGACGCACATGCATCCTGATACGCACGCACGCACACACACGCATTCCTGATACACTCGCGCACAATTTGTCATAAATTATAAATTGTAGATTTACGTGATACATGCCTGCATGTAACGACATACACAATCGCGACGAAGATCAGACGAGACGATCGATCGGGGGATTATAAATGATATTATGCATCGTCAAGAGTTGCGCGAGTAATACCGCATAAAATATCTAATACCGTTTGGATCGAGATCACTATCAGCTTGAGGGACGCATCACAGTTTTCGCGAATGATCTTCCTTCTCGTGAAGGACGACGCGATGAGATGTGCAGCGTGAACCCTTCCGAGCGCGACCTTCTCAAATCGGATAATTTTGCTTATCATTTATCACTTGATCAACGTTAATTTTATCTATCCATCGTTGCAGCAGCGATGATTCGCATCAAGTGCTCAGGAACGAGAAGGAAAATAAAGGAAAATAAAGGAAAAACGCGAAGGGCACGAGATGAGGTTCGTCAATCGAGCTGAGACGGCCGCGCGATTCACTCTCCACACCTCTCGCACGTCCGCGACAATCGGTTTGTCTCGTTTTTTTCGACGATTGATCCTCGAGTCAATAAAAAGATTCGATAAAAAGATGTCTTCGACGACGCTCTTACCCACCCCGACTGGGTCCTCCCAGTTTTACACACCGTAGTACAACGACATCGACGAGAACTTGTTTTTTTTTCTTTCTTTTGACGACGAAGAGCTACTGAGTTTATTGAGTATTTTCTCATCATTTTCTCTCAACACGCTCTCGCACGCAATATTTTTTTTCTATTTTTACTTTTTCATCGCTAATCATATGATACAAGAAACGCAATGTTATTATATTATTATTACCTACACACACGATTTTTTATCGTCGCCGTCGGCAACGTTGAACACGTTTTACATGTTTTTTTTTTTGTTTGTTTTCCTTCGGCTTTGTTGTATCCTTCGCGCGATGTAACATCCGGAAAGGAAATTTGCACGCTAAGCACATGCCTGTATAGGCCATTTTTTTTGACGTTTCCTTGTCGGGAGAATCAACTGAACGAACAAGTCCGCCGGCATTGAACGGATCACGTCGATCGGGCAAATTTCGTACAGCTAATTTATTATGATTAACTTCACGATTACTAATCAAAAAACTTACTCGTAGTTACTGTAAATTATATAACTAATATGCTCAGCTGTCGTTTTATCTCGCTAATACACAACTGCACGAATTTGCCATTCAGTCAACGCCTATTACGTTCCATCGACTTGATACTCGAAGTGTTCAGAGCGAGAGTGGATCGAATTTGCAATTTGCAAGGTTTGTGCATCAGACACAAACGCAAATGAATACAATAAATAACCACGAAACAAGTGCGAATTGAAAGTTGCGCGTATTATAAAGCTTTAGGCCACTTTCTCCCGCTCAGAATCCTTCATTCGTTCGAGCGGGCAGACTGATCAACTTTGTTCGTTCGATCAGCTTCCTCTCCTGATGTATGCATAGCGAAAATACGAAAGAGCAAGAAGAAATAGAGAGGGACTAGAGAGAAGGATGACGCTACCGATTGCGGAGAAGAGCGAAAGAACAAAGTGGAGAAAGTAAGAAGCTGTCAGCTAAGACCAAGAGAACCTCCCCGATGTGATTACGTCCGAAAGTGTGAAAGTTTGATGTGTGTATACAGTTCTGTTTCTTAAACTATCTTAATTCCTAAGTGACACAAACTATCAACAGGACAACGTCTTTTCCCTTGACATTTTTCACCTAAAACGAATTGACAGAAAAGTATGATGGCTTCTTTGCACGATTAGCTGATACAACAAAAAACATTGGCTGTCTTAAAACAAAGAAAACAATACGAAATTTCTGTGTGAACAGAAGAAAGCAGGAGAAAACAGAAGTAAGTGGAGAAACAAGCATATTGTACGACGTACAATTGCTTCTTCAGCGTGATTCGCAACGAAGATCTCATTTGGCTCGCATCAGTCATCGCAGAAAGGGCAAAATAAAAAATATTTTTCCCGCGGAGAGGATGCGTCAAGGAAGAATACTTGTCTGCGCAGCGCGTACATACTTTTCGGCCTTCCTAAAATCTGCTCGAAAATAAATAACTACAATACGAACGTTTAATACGATTCTCTGAGTAATAAAGGACCGCCCGGTTTCGGGACGGAGAGCTTCTGATCGCGCGCGAACGAGGCGCCAATTAATTCAGCGAAACAAAGACAATACGTTTCACTTCGACGGGAGAAGCCATCGAAGCGCAAAGCAGTCAGCGTTAAGGAGTTTATTCACTTAAACTAAACGCTTAAGTCCGAGTCTACAAGAAGTATAGTAGTCCTTTAGAACCTTTAGAATCTTTAGAACCTTATACTCTCAGCTTGAAACTATGTAATTTTCGACTACAAACGTTTTCTGTTGCTGCCTGAAGTCATAATCCCTAAGCTTTAAACGAATTGGCCAGATTCCAATTGTTGAAGAACGCTCCAGTGCAAAAAACGCTTTTTATCAGAAATTATAAGCCTTATAGCATAAAGCTCTAAAAACTTTTTATTTCTATCCGGATTAGAGCGATGCTGGATATCGATATAACACAGTTTTGTAGCTTTTCTTCTAATTAGGTGCATCAAGTTTAAAATGCTTTCATAGAGTAAAAATACAAACATTAATAAATAGCTGATGCTAAACAGTTGCATGAAACAGAAAAAATTTTTATTTACCAACTGATGATAAAAAAAGTTTTTTTTATCGAATTCATGTAATTATTTAGCATCAGCCACTTATAAACATTTGTACTTTCATTCTGTTTCAAAAGTGTTTTCAATCTGATGCATCCAATTAGAAGAAAAGAGAAAACTACGAAACCGCTTTTTGTCGATTGTCCATCAAGTTGAAGAACGAACATGAACTCACGGCCGAGCATACTCTTTTCAATATTGTTCAGAACACAAGCTTTTACATTCTTGAACCAATAATGATGCAATCACATCTTTGGAAACGTACTCTCTTAAAATGAATCAATGAAACATCATTGAAAGCAGTGAATGTACACTGATTTGCAGTTAAACTGAAACTGCTCAGTGCTATAATTATAACTGATATCAGTGACTTTTCAAGAGAGTAGAAATAACCAATGGGGAAGAATTGTACTCTAGATTTCTAAATCTACGATCGTCGCTCAAAGCCACGAGGGATACTACGATCTCATCAACCTTGAAACGCGCAATTTATACAAGAAAATTCCTTGTTTAAGCGAAAGACAGTCGAAAGAACCGTCAGTCAGTCACTCTTGCCAGACCTTACATTTCATCACTCCAACAACCAAACATCACTCTCAATGAAAACTCTATTGATCTGAAAAAGTCCTCGGCAATAAAATAGAAGCTAAAAACTCGGTCTTTGAGGTTGGAGTGACCGAGGTTAGCTGGCTTCGAGGAACAGCCAGCTAACAGCGTGAGGCTTTAACTTCACGTTTATTAATGCGGTGTCGAGTGCTTCAACTCAAGCCAAATCGCTCAAAGACACAACAGTGAACTTCTCGTCATTTGCATTCTCTGGCTCCGTGGCAATACAACGATTGCCATCTGATACTAACGCGAGTATCCGTGAGATACGCATCGAACTCCAGACAAAGAATCGATAACTGTCTGCAGTGCAGCCATCGTCTACCAACACTATCGCATCTTTTTTATTTTTATCACCCTTTAGATATACAAGGATAGAATGATACGGTAACACTAAATAGCGTTAATAGCGAGCTCCTCGAACGCACCACTGATGATACGTCAGTGAAAATGTACGCCTGGATTGCAATCCGAAACGTCCTGTTTGAAAAGAATTTTACTGAAAATCTACAATTCACGTTACATACATTATGGATTTCCCGTAAAATTTTCCTAAAAAAGGACGTGTCGTAATGCAATACTGGTGAATAAACTCCTTAATCGCTCGGTCAATTATACAACGACAATCTCTTCACACCTCTTTAGTGAAGTGCATATTCGCACGTGTACATTACAACGTGTCCATTGAAATCATCCGTCTGACATTACTTTTGTTATTGTTAAAACACTTATTATTTGTCGTGGCCGAACGTCAAAATTCGGAAATACTTCGCTAGAACAGAAACGCCACTCGATCTGGTCGTTTCTAAGGTACTGCTTTGAGGTATGTGAATGTCAATCTGCGAAATCGTCGTTAAATCAATTCTCGAGGTCTCGAGAAACTTTCGAGAAAGAGAGAGAAAGTATAATTATATGATGCGCGTACGGAAAACAAGAAAATACTTCTTTAAAGGGATGCTGTATACTGACACAATATAGTTCCGCAGTTTACACTGTTTTTCTATGTAATTGCATAGAATTGTAGATGCTCTTACACTGTGAAAATATAATGTCAATCCATGGAAGACACCAAATATTGTATAAACAAAAGTAGATTTTGTAGATAAAAATTCTTTTGTTTTTGATAGTTTGTGAATGTTTTTAGGATGTATGAATGCCCTTAGAAAGTCTTTAGAACGTCTTTTGGAGATTTGTGCTGTATGAGTATTGTTTTGTATAGCTAACTTTTAACTTCAATAAGTTGATTTAACGTCCACTTGACTTTTCATTGACTTTCGTTTGCGCAACTTTTAACATAATTTTTCACGTGACCTAAGTTAATTTAAAGACCACAGACAACTAGACACAATTTAGTTAAAAAAAAAAAACTACCTAACCCCCACCCTGTCTATACGCAAAAATGATGCAAAGTACGAAACTGCGTCACAAGTCAGTATCCAGCATCTCCCGTCAACTAAAGATACTTTCGCTGCAACCAGTGCAGTTTTGATTTCATGTGTAACATGTTTGCGTGTGACGAGAACCTGCGCCTGACGAAGTTAGGAGGATGTTCCTAATCGAGAACGGAAACGATCGACCGCATTCAACGTGAGCGGTGACGCTGTTTCTCTCGCTTTTCACGACCGATCACGATCAGAGAGAAAAAGAGGGAGAAAAAGAGAGAGACAAGCGGATCTCGGCGAACTGTGATATCGCGTACACCAAATTACGCCCCTATTATTCGGACAGTGTACGCGCGACAAGAATGTGACCGTGAAATATTCGGACGCTGGTTTACGTTGCCTGGCTTTCACAGAAAGCATATCCCCGTGACGGTGTGAGTGTGTGAATACGAGAGCTGGATGAGCTTAATGAGACACATTGTACGACAAAGAAGTATGGCCTATTGCGCGCGCGCGCAAAAACGGTTCCGCTCGACAGCGGCGAAGATTAGCCCCGCAAATGAACACCTTGATGACCCAATTATTCGCCATGGATCGTGAACTGCACCGAACAGCACGACAGGATCGACGACAGTGGGCGAAACGGTATATGCGCACTCGTCGTTTTCTTTTCTTTTATCCTTTGCGCCACAAGTAAACAGAGAAAGAGATAGAGACGAAGAGAAGGAGAAGATTCAAACTTATTACTTCCTCATTACAACCTAAGGCAGTCAAATCGAAATTGCTACGTGGGAGTTGCCTAGACGTCGAACTAGCAAAGGGTCCAGTGTTCAAAGAGCTCTCCTCGTTAATTCTATCAGCTTGTCTAGAGCTAACGAGTTCAAAGTTCTAACAACAAAGCTCTCTTCTAATGTTCGCCAAAGCACAGCCTTGCCCGTGAAAACGTGATGTGTGTATGTGTGTGTGTGTGTGTGTGTATATCTGCTCTTGTGCAGCAGGTAACTGTCTACTACTGATCGGACGCGGAAACGAAGAGAAGCGGACTCTCGACTCAGAGAGAGAACGGGAGAAGAGAGAGAGACGGTCGTCGTCATTGTAGCGAAACACACGCCGATCGGCACCGATCGCACAAACGAACGAACGAACGAACGAACGAACGAACGAACGAATCAACAAACGAATGAACGATCTATCTACTTATCTACCTGCCTATCGTTCGTTCGCTAGCACGGTGGGTACCCTTCGAGGTCTACATTCATCTACAGAGAGGAGAGAAGAACGACCGAGCACGATCTCGACGAATTCCCTCGCTAATCGTTCAGAACGCTAATCCACCCCCGTGACTTGCATCAGCAGTATGTAAAGGGCAAGGCTGGCCCCAGGCACGTCCACGCAATCCTCTACTCATCTGCGCTTTTTCTTCTTGGACCGGCTGTTGTAGGCTTTCCTGTGGATATTCATCGAGTGGATGTACGTGCGAGTCCAGAAGGTCCCGTTGCCGTTTCTTCTCGCGGCGTCCTGCTGCGTGCAGCAGGCGTTGTTGTCGTCGTGCTCGTCGGACCAGACGATGCCGCGATTGCCGGCGTCGTGATCCCCGTCGGTGTCGGGCACGACGTGCGTCGTGTCGTCGATCAGCTCGTCCGACCAGATCGAGTAGCGGCCGGACGACAGCCGCTCGCCACGCTCTTCCGAGTCGCTACGCTTGTCGGTGGTGGACTCGAGCTCGGCTCTGGCCGCGTTCCGAGCCGCATCCGGAGGCGCGTCCCGCTCGGCGGACGCGCGGCTCTTTTCCGCCTGTCGCCGTCGACGGCGCGCCGCGGCGAGCTGCAAACAAGATTCTTGCGATTCTCCTCCTCTCACGGCTGCGTTACCTCGACGTGTTTCGGCATCGTCGTCGTCGTCGCCGTCGCCGCCGCCGCTATAGTCGTCATCGTCGTCGTCAACGAATCGTTGACGTCGCCGCCGCTCGGCTACTACTTCCGCCGAGACAGGAGGACCACCATCCTCCATCGTCTTCGTCGCCGTCGCAGCCACGGCGTCGTGATACTTGATTCTGCGCGGCGGGTTTGTGCGCGCGGCGTCGTCGTTGTCTTCAAACATCGCCGGCCCGAGAAGGTCTATGAGGATACTGTCGTTCAGCGTCAGCGTCACCACAGTCGCCGCCGCCGCCGCTGTCGTTGTCGTCGGGTCGACGTTGTTCTCCTCTACACCGAGCTCCTCTTCCTCCTCTTCCCCTTCTTCGTCCTCCTCCTCTTCCTCTTCCTCCTTAGGCGCAGAAGCACGTCGAGAGTTCTGGCGTCCGCGTGACGTCGTGCGAACAGCCGACTCGGACGAGAGGTCCAGGCCGCAGTTGTCCGACGACCTCTCCTCCACCTCCATCAGCGGCTCCAAGTCGAGCTCCTTCGCGTCTGACAGCGAGGAGACGTTCTTCTTGACGATCGAGCTCCAGGATATCTCCTGTGCTCTCGGCTCCCGCCACTTGGAGTCGGCCACCAGCACCTCCTCCTCCACGGCTTCCTGAAGCTCGACCATCTTCACCTTGGACGAGTGGAACGACGAGTCCGCCGCGCTGTCCTGCGACGACTGGCTGTCCGCGTGCCACTTTTTGCTCTTGCGTGACTTTTTGGTGCGCGCGCCGGCGACGATGGCCTTCGGCAACAGCGGCAGTATCTTGCACTTGGGGGTGTCCGCCGCCGCCGCCGCCGCCGCCGCCGCCGTCACCGCGCACATCTTCTCGGCTTTCTCTATCGCGTCGATATCGATGATTTCAACAGCACCCGCCGTCGACTGAGGAGCACGCTTGCCTGGCAACGACGACGATAACGATGATGATGCAGAGAAGGAGCTCGAGGTTCTCGAGGCGCCGCGACTCTTGGCCTTCCTTGTGGGACTCACCGGGTACGTTGCTTCCTGTTTGTGCTCCGTGCCACATTTAGCGTCGCAGACCTCCTCCAAAGGATTATAGATCACGGTGATCTGTGCCGCGGCCTCCGCGGCTTCACTGTCGATCACCATGATATCCTTCCGCCTCTTGCTCGACTTGGACGGCTTCGGAGCAGCTGCCTGCTGCTCCGCCATCGACGGCAGCTCCTGCTGCCTCGTCAAGCTCTTCTCCACGGCGGCGATCATTGTTAGCGACTTCTGCGATGCGCGCTCCAGCTCGCGGATCTCGGAATGCTGCACATGCTCCAAGTCGTCGTCGGAGGATAACGCGTGCTTGCTGTGTCTGCGACCTGCCATGCGCGAGCCACCATCGTTTCCGACCCCGTCCACCTTCCTGGAGGACTTGGCGTCCGTACGCTCAGGAGCATCGCCAAGCTCGGAGCTGTGTATGTACTCCAGGTCGTCGTCCGAGATAGTGCTCTTGCTGCTCTTCCTTTGGTGCGCCACAGGGGACAGTTCCTGGCCGCGCGACGACCCGGACGTCGGGTCTGCGCAGACACGATCGCTGGTCTCCGCGCGTTCGCGCAGCTGCATCATCTCGGAATCCATATGGATGTGCTCGATGTCGTCGTCCGACTGGGTGGAGGAAGCGGCGGCGTCCTTGCCAGCTGGACAACCGCCGGCTTCCGCCACCATGTGGTACTCGATGGAGCTAAAGTCATCCAGGGGAGGAGGATCCAACGGCGGTAACTCGTCATCGTCGTCGTCGTCGTCGTCGCTCAACATCCGCACTCTCGCTCTCGCTTCCGTGGCTTTAGCCTTCTCCCTCACTCCGTCGCTCGTCGAGGACTCTTCCTTCGTGCGCTCGCTTTTCTTGACCTCGCACGATACCCCGCCGTCCTTGCCGGAGCAAGAATCTTGCGACACGATACCGGTCTTGGTCTTGTTTTTGTGCCAGGAAAAGGTCGCAGTCATTCTGCGACGAGAAAGGTCGGGTCCCTTCTTACTCGTCTCCCCGACATAGAGAACCTCCGTTTCGTCGACGCAGTCGTCGTTTGCTCTCTCATCGAATCTGTTCTGCCTGCGCGCACAAACATTCATCGACTCACCGCGTCTCACGTCCTCGATGATGACGCTGTCCTCGTCCTCTTTCACCAAATACTTCTCCACACGACTCAGCTGCTCGACTGGACGTTTCCGCGTGGAGTCCGAACTGTTTGATGACGTGCCCGCCGAACCGGACTTCTTGGACGACGATCTCTCGGGATCCACGACGCCAGTTCGCCTCGCGGACTTCTTCAGCGCTCCTCGTCCCACCGCGTGCTGTTCCTCATCCGCGAATACTCTCGCCTCGTCGGTCGTGTTCTTCTCGCGCATCATCGTGATCGCCGCCGTGGTCGCCGTTCTGTTCTCCATCAACGTGACACTGTCGTCGTCATAGTTGACGACATACTTAGCCTTGGCGAAGTTCCTCTCGCGCGCCTCCTCGTGATCGTCGCGCTTGCCCGACGACGACTTCTTGCAGTACCAGACGGTCTCCTTGGCCCGCGTCATCGGACTATTCGGGATCTCACCTTGCTCGGCGCACAGGCTCAGGCTCGTCGGTACGTCGCGAAACGCCTCCTCCCTTTCAAAGTCGATCGACGAGACGTCGCTGCCGCTCCCGGTCGCCGCTGTCCTCATCTCCGCGCAGAGAGCCCTACGCTCGCTCAGCTCGCGTATGTTTTCGTCGGGTACGCTGTCGATCGCCGGCTCGCTCGCCGAGCGCATCTCCGCGCAGATCTCGGTGAGATCGCGCAGCGTCTGGCCGCACTCCGGCGGCTCGAGGTCGCCGAGCGAGGCCGGACCCTCCTCAGCGCACACGCTTCTAGGTACCTCTGGCGGCGCGAGTATCTCCTCCGCGGAGTCGAACAACTCCTGACCGGAGTTGCTAACATTGTCCTCCTCGTCGGCCGACACGGTAATCACGGTGCCAAGAGGGTTGACGACTTTAGTTACCGGCTGACCCACCCTCTCAAATACCGATCGCCTACCTAGTAACAGAAAAAGCCGTTGGCAGGTATCAATATCGTGTGTCTCTTTCACTCACACACTCTCTCGCTCTCTCTCTCTCTCTCTCTCTCTCTCTCTCTCTCTCTCTCGCTCTCACTCACTCTCTCCCTTAAGTTCGTCTTTATCTTCGGTTTCTTTGTCTCTTACAAACGTCGAAAGTTGACTTGTGCACAGAACAGAGACCTCTTGCTTGATCGAGCAAATGGAAAATCATACAGAACGTGAAAAGTATCGTAGAAAAGTATCATAATGATGCGAGTGAGTCCTGTTAAACTACGGGGACCAGTGTCGATCGAGGTCTTTCTTTCTAGTCTCTCGAGGATACGTAGGACGAGAGCGACAAAGAAATATAATAATCCTTTGCCGTCCAGCACGTTCAACTAAGTAAGCGAGATGATACTCCCGATACGTGTACACATCACGATCACATCGCGACTGAACGTCAAGACAAACTTAACGGAGAGAATCTGTATATCTGCTTGTAATTGTGTCGCAAAACAAGTCTCTCTTTCTCTCTCTCTCTCTAATTTTCTAAGGTATACACAAAGCTAAAAAAGCCTCGAGCAAAATGTGGTGTAACTATAAAATGGTTAGTACAAAGACAGTACATAATTCTTGTAACATTCTTCTGGTTCTTTTTATCATACAGAGAACGGGCTTTCGAGAAACATGTCTCGCTGTTAGTGCTCGGATTCAATACAATTACGGGGACAAAATGGAGATACCTGCCTCTGGCCAGTTCTGTATCCACGCAAACTTACAACGCTAGTCGAGATATCCTTCGTTACGTACGGGAAGTAAGTCAAGGAAGAAAGAAAAATTCGCTCGCGCGAATATTCTTTGCTTTTTCTTGCCTTTGTTTTTTTGTTATAATACACAAGGTTTCGCAATGCGCCGCGACAATGTTATCGTGAAACATAGGCGAACGATTTTTGCCTCTCGAGAATCTTATTCCTTTGCTTCTTGGCAATATTGCTCTGATAAGCGGCAACCTCAGGACACGCATACGTATATCATGCCAAATTTTACGAATTTTTATACGGATGTATATGTGCGCGCGTATATGTATATGAGTCCTACAAGCTTTATGAATTCGAGCGCGAATGTTTGTTTAAAAAAGTATCTGATCGGATGTACATATATTCGCAAACTTGTATGCATAGTATTAAAGATTGCATTCGTTCGATGAAATTCAACGGAAGTACTGTTTTCTGTCTGATTGTCAAATGTGAGGACAAATGTGAGAATATACAGTATGGCAAAATGTGAAATGCAGGCAAACCAGATAATAACGACGCAAATAAAAATCCCCCGAGGATCAAATCACATACAAATGTCTCTCTCTTTCTCTCTCTTTCTCTCTCTCTCTCTCTCTCTCTCTCTCTCTTGCTTGTATAGGGAGTGTCTTGATTGCGAATCGCTTCGAAACACGCGGCGACACCGAAACTAGATCCAACTAAATGATCAACGAAATAGACCTGCATTCGTAATTGTGGTGCTTTCGACTAAAGCCAGCGTTTTTTCCTGCTGGATTGTTTGCGTGCTACTATGCTGGCTACCTTGTTGACTGTCTTGCTGAAAATAGTTCGTCTGCTGGCTGCTCTGCTGGATTTTCATGATAGATCAGATGCTATTTCCCTCACGTGGCTTTATATACTAGCTCACTGTCAGAGCCAATCAGGACGTTGTCTCAGATCACATGATCATGATTGACGCGTCGATGCAGTGACCGTCGATTCCATAAACGCTGGTTTCGATCATTAAAACTAATGCAATTGCAATTTTTCGACGTCGTAGCAGCAACAACCTACTCCATGCTTATTGAGCGCGACTCAATGTCTTCCAAATAGAATTGAGTTTCAGCCAGCGCGAAAGCTCGCACCGTGCGAAGCCAAATCACAACACGGCCAGTAGCACTGCCAGCACAGCTGCCCGCACGGCAGCAAGTAACACGCAATCCAACAGGAAGAAACGCAGTGTGTGCCGCTGGCTTAGGACGTACTGCAACGACCTGCAACAACGTACTTACCTGGAGCACGGTGCGACGCGATGGATATCTCGAGCATAGCTTCTGCAAGATCTTCCCTCAGCTGACTCTCGCAGCTACCGACGGCCACGTTCTCGCTGTCCAACGGATCGCCGTAAGCTTCCATGAACCTCGGCGATTGCTCGTAACTGCCTACAAAGTAAAATCAAATTGATACTTTTAGTTTGTATTTCTTTCTGTCTCTCTCTCTCTCTAAGAATTAAAGCGATAATTCATCATGAAGATATAATCAATGAATAATTAGTTCTATTAATCGTATCGTCATACATTAAGCTTCAATCTCTCTCCCTTTTTCCTCCAGATTTTAATCCACTACTAGATATATACTCGTTAACCCAATAATCTCCGACTCTGGATACTCACTTCCGGATCCGTCAATAACGACTGGCATCAGGGGTCTGGAGGACGCATGCGGCATATTGACGGGCTTCGACCTCGCCGGACGTGACCCACCGGATGTGACTCCGATCTCGACCGCTTCCGCTTCGACCAAATTGACGGAGACACTGGACAACAACAGATATCTCGTTCATAAGTCACGTCGCTCGAGAAGGGATTACAAAATTAAGTGAGAAAGTGAAGAGTACAAACCCGCTTGGCGCGTTGTAAGTCTTGAACACGAACTGCGGTCCCATCCACAATCGTCTGTGCGGTCCGGCGTGCGTCACGATCTCCACTTGACTCAACCAGCGATCCTCAGCTGTGTCGAGCTCCTGGCTGTTCTTCGGCGCGAACGTAACGCTGAGCAACGGATTGGATAGAGGCAACGGTGGGGCAATTTCCGAAGAGGTGGGTATTCTCAAAAGCGGCCACTGGCCCTTCGCCTCGACTTCCAACTCGATCATGGTGTCGTCGCAAACTTTTTCCTTTGGCACTCCTGAAACCAAAATAACAAGGTAAATTTCCTAGTAGTTGAACATGTCCCAATAATTAAAACATTAATAATATATTTGTATATTTAACATTTTAAAAAACCCTTTGAAATTTTTTGTTACAATATATTTCTTTATGCCTATTTGTAATATTACTTAATTGAATTATTGAAATTGTTGAAGTTGAATTATTGAGTCTGCATTATTCAGTAATTAGGATTTGATTTATTTTTTAGTTTAATTATTGATACAGCCAACATTATCTAATATCTCATTGTAATTATAATTGATGCAATTATAATTGATATTTACTGATTAACTTATCTCTTATTCTTTTTGGTCTCTGATAAATCAAACTTTTATATAAACGTTATTAGTGATTCCATTATCTATTAATAAAAATCAAAAACTGTGTTTTCTTATCATTAGTTTAATTATTGGGACATTTGCCTTACGGAGGTGCTCCGTAACTCAGAGAGGAAAATATATTAAAATCGTATATCTCTCTCTTATCTTATGTCTGATGATAAAAATCGGCCAATATCTTTCGCAAAATATGTGCAATAAATCGTGGAAAAGTACAAATGCATTGTATATCTTCTTTGTCACGTACCAGCAGCCGGTTTAGGTTCCAAGTCGTACTGTATCAGATTGCCGTGACACGCCATAATGAACAGTGAATCAACAGCCCTCTTGACAGCCTTGCTGCTGGACTCCCTTTGCGCGTATATCCAGGCTCTTGGGGGAGCGAAGCACACACAAATCTTCAACGGCAAGGTTCCGCTGTCGTCCGAATGTAATCGTTGTCTCTGCTGCGGCCTGCTGTGATGACGTAATATCCCTCAATCGTATCCTCATTGTTTCTTATCGCTCTTTACGAGATCTAACACTCAACAATAGTTACCTCGGTTGTGAGGAGCTGTTGACGTGATTCAGCGATGAAGGTTGCCGTATCTGCGACAAAGGATGCAGTATCGTTGGAAGCGGGTACGGTGGAAGTCGAGGGTTCGAATACGGATACACGGACAGAGGTAGCTCCGCGTGAGACACAGGCGAATGAGACCGAGTGCCGTCGTCCGTCAAGCCCGCGCTCTTGTGGAATCTCGACAGTCTGTTGACCACATGAGGCGTAGAATGCGTCCTCACGCCCACGAGACCACCGTAAGGAGCGACAGGGAAAACGTGAGTGGTACCTCTCACGGTGGAAATTGCGGCCCAACGTGTGTCGCTCGAGAACACCATGTCCTGGTACAAAAATCAGCGGCATTAAGCGATGAGATATGCTCGAGCCGTAGGGTGAGGTGTATGTGTATATACAGGATGTCCCACATCACGGGATTTCAATTTTAGACTTCAAGAGCTTCTCCGAGTAATTTAGAGGCAATTTCTCCTTATCAAAAATATCGAAGAATAATCGATATTTCTGGTATTTTCTCATATTTCTAACATCTTTGTACATAATCTGAATAATAAATAATGTAGCAAATAATACAACAGTGATAGACATAGATCATGTAGTAAATCGAACAAAAATTTAATGAAGGTTCACTCGAAATTTAATCACCCGAAAATCGATTCACAAGATGCTTTTTCGATATTTTAATGGAGGACAAATCTAAAATCCAATCTGCTCCTTCACCTCCTTCAATAAAATTAAAAGATCGCGAGCGTAGGATGTCCTGAGTGTATAATCAAGCAGTAAATAAAGCAGTAAATGTACCTGTACTTTCGCGGTGGTGTCGCCACGATGTAAAATATACAGGTGATGCACTGCCGCCAGTGTCGGGCCGCCGGGATGCGGCTGAATTCTGAATACATGAAAATCATGTCCTCTTCTGTCCGCTGTCATTAATAACGCGCCGGTTAAGTCGAACGTCATGGCAACGATCGCGTCACTATGGGCAGTAAAATGAGCAATTACAGTCTCTATATTCGCATCGTCTAGCTCTTTCTCCTCTTTCGCCGCTTGAAGATCCAATATCGTCACGACACCCGGCTGTGTCACGTCGTTGCCCGTGCTGTTGACGGCCATCGGTGAAACGGAGTTCCCCGTGAGACTCGAGGCTACAGTCTCCCCGAGTCCACGAAGACCCTTGCCCAATGACTTCGCCGCGTATAGAACCGTCGCCGTGTAACTTTGTACACCCTCGCCTTCGCAACCGCCACTGCTTCTTCTTGCGGGTAACAGTTTTCTCTCGCTGTGAACATTACGCAAAGAGCAGTTTGTTTTGGGATCAAACCAGATGTAGTAAAGTCTGACCGAAGTTGTGAAAAATATTAATTAAAATTTCGCAAATTTAATCATTAATCTGGACCGATACATTTCAATTCGACTAATTGATGATTGATTTGAGCAAAACCAATCAAAGAATGTTTAATTGATTGATTTCAACGAATTTAAAGACTGTTCCATTGACGAATCATATAAGCGATTTATATGAAGAGAATCAAGGATCGTTCAATTGACAATTAAATTTAGCAAATTTAATTAAATTTAATTGACGATTGAACGTAGAACATAGGAAGGAATATAAGAAAGTGTAAATAAAATAGTGTTTTTATGGATTTTGACCTCCTAAATATGATAAAATTTAAAAATTTGTTTAAAAGTTGTTCCGGGAACACCTCGAAAATTGAGCAAGAACATGATGTATAGAAATTTGGTTAATATATGAAGCTATCACAAGAAAGAATGAAAGGGTTTTGTGTGTACATATAGGGAGAGGGAACTTAAGTAGAATTACATAAAATCGGGTTAAAGAGGCTCCCACAAAAATGCATTCAATAAGACGAAAGGCGTGTGTATTTGGAGGATGAGAATAAGATATACAACCCTTTTTATTCTTATTCTCCAAATACAAATACGTTCCTTCCGTCAAATATACTTTGTTCAATTATGAATAATTTTTTTAGTTCCCCTTGCCCATATTAACTTGCAATCGAACTGCCTTGAAATGCATTCGTTGAAATCAATCGTCAATCGAACGATCTTCGATTGAATTTGTCGATATCAATTGACAATTGGACAGTCTCCAATTGAGTTAGCTCATATTCAACTAGTTAAACACGATAATTAATTGAAAGAGTAATCAATTACTCGCAACTCCCTCGATCTAAGGCGGAAAACATTCGTATTGTGGATTGACACGGGATCAAATGTACAAAGTAAACGGTACCTGTAAGCAAGCCATCGTGTTCCCAGAGCGACGGGGTTTGGATTCGGGCCAGGGCTGGCATAGCAAGTGGTGATCGTTATAACATCCTCTAATGTTCTGGCATCGAAGACCGCAATTTTTTCTAAGAACGTCACAACCACGGATCGCCTGTTCGCTAACACATCGCAGACGGGATTTTTGAATTTTATGCTTTTCACTTGCTCGCTGGTTTTTAAGGAGATGAAACTGATGTGGCAAAATTGTGGTCCCGGACCAGCGGAATCGCAGATGGCTACCATCGGCCGTTTCGCTTCGAATGGGTCGACGTGTTCGTCGTCAGTCTTTGGATTTGGTAGAATTCGAAGAGTACGAACCACGCCCTGCCGCCATGATAAGACCTCTGTTGCCTCTCCCGTCGCTGCTATCAGCCATACCTGCATTCACAAGTTGACAGTTGTCATAACAATGTGTATCAAGAGTCTGACAAGAAATAGTATTCACGATATGGCATTTTGAATTGAGGACAATTATTTACCTGAACACCAGTCGCATATCCTAGCACCAATAACAATGGTGGTGTACTGGAACCCTCATTGTAGTCGGGATATAAAACGGGGTCATTTATATCCGCATACTCAAATCGTGCCCATGATATGGTTTCCTTGTTATCGGAGTTGGATACTCCAGCGTATCCCTGTGAAAATAAGGGAAACCCATCAGAAGATATAATATATTATTAATAATATCGAAAGTAGCTGCAGGAATTTTTACTCTTTCTTTTCATAACATAAGACCAGAGTACTGTTTATTTAAAGTTTGAACAATAGCAGTAATATGTAACTTTATTTTATGGAATAAGTTAACTCTCAGATTTCCAAGTGTTCAGAAGAAAACAATGATAATGCAAAAGAAACATACCTGTGGCACAATGTCGTTGATGATTCCAGCAACACTATCAATAATCGATCGATCCACTATGGGTTGAGGTGAGACAACTTGAACTCCTTTATGCACACCTCGTCTTGGTGATTCCGCAGACATCTTTTACTCCAAATTAATTTTATCTACCTGTAAAAACAACAAGATTCCTTTACATTATCAAAGATGTAAAATACATATATTATATGTTTACTTGAAAATACTAGGCTCAATTAAATTAAAAAAAAGACCACACATATCAAATATACTTCTTATTTGAAAAAAAAAAAAACAAATATTTTTGGAAATACAAAAGATATTTGTACAAATTAGACCACAAAATACAGTTTAAAAATTTTATATTTATGATTATTTATAATAATTATTTAATGTGTATATAAATAAGAATTTATGTGCGTGTGGAATATCACATAAGAATTTTTATTTTGCGTTGTGGATAAACTATAGTGTGCACTTTGTTGTATCATATAATTTCTCCCTGCGACAAATAATCACGAAATAATCACGAAATTATACACGGGTGGCGATTATCAGGACAATTAGAATTTATCAACGAATTCTGTTTCATTGCATAGCAATTAAAATCGTACAAATAAATTAATAAATTACTACTGCTACACACTGTGACACTGTTCTCTGTAATAAAAGAAAAAAAAAACATAACATCTACTAGACGCTGTCGCGCGACGACAATGTTGCGAAGACAAAGGAAAACACGACTCGCCGAGCAGGAGATACGTCGAAAAGACAATCGTTTCGACAATAAAAAGAAAGAAACAACGCGCTTCAACGAGGCCCTCACCCCGAGTGTCGTCGAGAAGCGTACAAACAGCCTCGACCCGACTCCGCTCTGCACCAGAGAGAAATATTCTCTTTACTGGCAGAACATCGCAATACGAGCGGCGATTGCACGCATAATCCTCGAGCGCGAGCGGACAAAGAACTCTTTCGTCCAAGGTGTACCCGTCGTCGTTGGGGTCGAATGTCGTCATTACGCGGACATCGCTATATCGCTAGGCGCGCTGGCGACACGTCGTTGTGGCCGTCGTCGTCGTCGCGCCAGACCGACAATCGTCGTCCTCGTCGTCGTCCGAGAGCGCCCGGATATCCCACGGCGACGACGGAGCGTCGTCACGCGGTGCATTATTTAACGCGCACGAAAAGTGGGAAAGTGCATTGGCGGACGATCGTCGGCGGCGGCGGTGGTGGCAGCGCGATGGTGTGTTGTTGACGGCGGATGGGTTGGCGGCCACGGGAGCGGGGATGGGGCGGCGGTAGGGGGGAGTCTATTTTGCCTGCCGTGCGTCGTGCACAGAGAGTGCTGTTGCACAACGCGCAACCACAGCTGTGCGCGGAATGCGCGCTCAGGGACGAGGAGCGCGAGAGACGAGAAAGTGCACGTCGTATCTGATGAACAGGAAGAAAGAGCGCGACGCGCGGACCACTCTCGCATAAACAACGACACTTGAGCGCGGACAAACGGGACGTCCGCGAGAGCGAGCGAGCGAGATATAAAGAGGAGGGAGGAGGGAGAAGAGGGGCGACGGTCACGGCGAGCGACGACGACGTATCTCTCGCGAATTGATAATATACGACGGTCGCGTATAAAACGTTTACGCAATCGCGTTAAAAAAAGCGACATCGAGCGAGCGAGCGAGCGAGCGAGACAAAGAGGGAAACTAAGCGAGCAGGCGGAGCAGGGCAGGGCAAGGTAGGTAGGCAGGCAGGCGGAATAGGCAGGAAAATCGAGGGAACAAAGCGAGCTCGCGCTGCTTATCGCGCCGTTGTTATCGACGTGCTCTCGTGTGCGTACGTAACGTCGGGCGAACGGGCTGTGCCGTTTCGCTCGTGATCGATAGAAGAGAGAGAGAAAGAGAGAGAAAGGGGCCGACGGAACGCGGGGGGAAACACCGCGAACCGTCGATCGGCGCAACTTACTTCACCGTGCGACACCGTGTCTTCTCATGGTGCGTGGGGCCCGCCACCTTCTCGCTGTACACTGCGTCTGTCTACTGCGTCATTCTGCGTGCGACTGACAAATCAAACGGAAGGACGGACTGACTGACGAACAATCGGCGGGTCGGTCGAGCGGGCGAAACCGACGACGACGACAATGATGTCACCCGCGCGAAACGTCGATCCTCGGAGCTCCGCCGTCGGGGAAACGCGCCACGACGCGCGACTTCCTCTCGCCTCACCGTTCTCCTCTACCTACTCGTCGCGGAGACACACGACGACGAGCGCGACGATCACGACGACACTGCGATGCGTGCGGGCCGCACTGCGCGACTACTGGACGCGGGCGAAATGCGCGACGGGCCCGCCACTGGCTACGTTAGCGTTGGCGTCGTCGTCGTCGTCGCGCTGCGCGTATGTGTGTGCGTGCGTCAACACCGCGACGGTCACGGACTACTTCGTAGTCCCAAAGAACGAAAACAATAATCAGCTGATTCGACGACACGGCGCGGTGGCAGAGTGGGGAGGGGGGGGATAGGGAGACGACGGGGAGATCGGGATCGGTCGCGCGACCGGAAGTAGCGCCCGTTTACTCGCACACCCGCGATCGCTCGCGACGCCAGATAATCGATGCTTGACCTCGACGTCACGGCTAATCTCGACAACTTCAGTCAACCTCAGCTCTCGCCGCTGCCTGCGGAGTCATCGTCGAGACGAGACGATATTAACTCGGTCGTATCTGAGGGAGAATGGAAATGTACAGTACAAATGTAGGGGAGTAGAGGGGATAAACGAGATCTCGAATGAGAGTAGCGGTTGCAAAACGAACAGTGCAGCTCGAACGAACTTCAAGGTAATGTTTACGCATAATGCCTGTCAGCCCCGATGACGCATCGAGAATATTACGTGCGCGGCGTAACAGCGCAATATTACCGCGACTGGTGGCCTGTTACAGGATGTGAGGCCTCGCGAGGTGACGTAAATCGGTAAATGATACAACGGCGACGTATAGCCGACCGACAATAAACAGTAGGCTGCGCGGAGCTAACCAGCTGTCGTAACGTCGCCAGCTGACTTCGGCGATCACGTGATCGCCCAGGCGCGCGTTCCCGCGCGCCAAATTCAACAACGGCCAGGCCCCGATTCGTGTTCCGTACTTTTAAAGTACTAAAGATGTATCAGAATAATTTTAATTTTTTTTACCAATTCTCTCTAATTTTTCTTTTCAATAAATGCCTAATTTCAGGAAATATTACAATGTGTTATCAATATTCTTTATAGGTTTAAAATGATTGCAGATTTACATACATATCGTACGACTAAATTATATATTAGATTTTGTTGAAAGATATATATTTTGCATATAAATTTATACGAGAAATAACGAGTTACTTATATATACACTAAGAAAAGCTACTTGAAAATTTGGGGAATAAACTTTTGGGAAATAAAGTTTACTTCTATGAAATAATCAATCTAATTATTTGTATAATTTAGTAAACAATTTGAGAAAACGAATAATAAAATCAAGATTATTTTAATAATTTTCACACTTCTACAAATAATCCAATGACTCAACTAAAAGGAAAACACGGTTAATTTGACTTTTTTCAATAAATAATAGAATTGCTAACACAACTGACGTTTATCTGAAACTTTAATTTGTCGAAAAATAACAGGAAATAAAATAATTAGTAAATATTAATTATAATTTTTATGAAACTGATTCGATAATGTTGGTTGTACCAGTAATTAAATTAAAAAACGAATCATATCCTAATTACCGAATAATATAGACTCAATGATTGAATGCTTATTAAATAATAACTGAACTAATAAGAAAGCTAAATTATAACCAAAACTAATGATTAAATTATAAATTAGCACATCTGTTAACACAAAATTTCGAAGACTATTGTTTTACAAATATTAAATATAAATATATTATTAATGTTCCACAACATTGGGCATGTTCAATCGCTGAGACGTTTATTTTGTAACGATGTAAAGTACAATCACACGTTTTTACGCAGAACTCTTGTTATCATCAGATTTACTTCTTCTAGGAAAAACCCAACAGAAATAAACACTTCGAATGCACGATGGATATGAAGGAATATGGAAATACCTTTCTAACATAACGTCGAGTACATTCTCTTCTCAACATATATTAAGTCAGTGACGATGTTTACTGCGATCTGCTTCTTTTCAATCGCAATTACGCTAATTCACAATGCCGCCGTTGCCGCTCGTCCGAATTTCTTACTGATCATTGTCGATGATCTGAGGACTAGTCTGGGATGTTACGGCGATGACAAGGCGTACACACCAAACATCGACGCTTTGGCTAAGGACAGCATTGTTTTCACCGAGGCGTTCGCACAGGTCTCTATCTTTGCTTAAAAAATCCGATAGAGACTTTTAAAAATGATCCAGTTATATTGATTTTTTTATTATATTTTATGTAACTTCATCGGATTTTTTAAACAGAGATGTGTTTTAGAGCATAATAAAGCTTACACAAGATTGAAATATCTTCTAAGGATCTTCATCCACATTCTTTAATTCGAAAATATTATGTAAACACACATATATATGATGTATATATATATATATATATATATATATATATATATATATATATATATATATATATATATATATATATATATATATATATATATATATATATATATATATATATATATATATATATATATATATATATATATATATATATATATATATATATATATATATATATATATATATATATATATATATATATATATATATATATATATGTATGTATATACATATAAGGATGATAATAAGAAACCTTATCCTTGTCTTAAAGAAACTATCGAAGACGTACAATTTTCTTTGAGGAGAAACTTTTAAATACGCTTTGCTGTTCACGTGCAGCGTATCTAAAAAAAAAATGTTTGCAGCAAGCTTTGTGCGCGCCTAGCAGAAATTCACTCTTGACGAGCAGGAGGCCGGATACTCTTCAGTTATACGATTTTTACAGTTATTGGCGCGACACAGTTGGTAATTATACCACTTTACCGGAGCATTTAAAGAATAATGGTTACACTACAATGTCTATAGGAAAAGTATTTCACCCAGGTAAAGTGGTAAATTATATAAACAGTAATTAATATTCAGGTTCAACTGGCTTCCGGATCAGTGCCGCATCCTTTTCAAGTTCAATTTTAGAATAATTTGTGAGAAACAAATCCACCGAGACGCGTCACCAACTCTCGGAAGCCAGATCGAGCGTTTTTCGATATATATATATATATATATATATATATATATATATATATATATATATAATTTATATAAATATGTAGTGTAAATTATATATGTATATTCATACGCACTATTGATTACATTAATTGTTTTTATCTGATTTTGAATTTTGTTAGTCAGGACTGCGAACATTTTGTTTTTCAGGTATAAGTTCTAACAGATCGGACGATAGTCCTTATTCATGGACTGAAAAGCCTTTCCATCCTTACACAGATCTATATAAAAATGCTCCCGTCTGCAAAATAAGCTCACAATCAAAAGCGGCGCGAAATATTGTAACGTTCAATAAGATGTCTCAATGTGTCATAACTTACATAAAATGCATCTTTTTGTGTAACGCATATTACATTTATAGGTGTGCCCGGTACACGTCTCAACTATGCCAAACAGAACGCTACCCGACATAGAGACGTTACAGGAAGCGAGAAAATTCATACATAAACACAGAAGAGATTCCAATCCCTTCTTCCTCGCCGTTGGTTTTCAGAAACCTCATATACCATTGAAGTACCCTGACCGCTTTCTAAGTACATTCTCTAGCTTTTATCTTATAACAAAGTTACACGCCTAAATTATCAACTTCATTACACTATGAATATATAATTTATACGATTTATACAACCTATGTATAATATAATTTTCGTGTTGCTAAATATGTTCATAGAATATCATCCAATTCATAAGTTTAAAATGCCTGAGCCGTACCTATGGCCGAATAGTGTAAACAACGTCGCCTACAATCCCTGGACCGATCTTCGATGGAGACAAGACGTAGCAAAGTTAAGACTGAAGTTCCCATGGCAAAAAATTCCAGGTACATATTTATCTATATATTTATTTCATTCGATTTTGCGTGTATCTACATTGTTACGTTTTCTTTTCTTTCCTTTTGAATCGTCATTTTCAGAGGAGTTCGGCAAGCTGATTATCCAATCATATTATGCTGCCGTATCTTACATCGACAATATGATTGGTAAACTTATGTATCAATTGCACGTCTCGATGGTTCGAGATAATACTATCGTAATATTAACATCTGATCATGGTACATACATGTCTAATTAACAAAGTAAAGTACGCACCCACACACCTCATATACACACACATACACATTCGTTATGTAACTGAATTTTAAATATATAGGTTGGGCACTTGGAGAACACGCTGTTTGGTCGAAGTACAGCAATTTTGACGTATCTGTACATGTACCTTTGTTAATATCGATTCCAACGTTCACATTTGATTCTGATAATTATCACGTTAGAACTATCGATCGTACGAAATGTACCGCAAAGATTACAAACAGCAATATCACCACTGAATTTTCAAAATACATATTCAATAGTACAAAAATAAATGAAACAGAAACACGCGAAAATATGAAATATATGAACAAATATAAAAGAAACGTCTCAAGGATGTATAATCGGCAAAGATACAACAAATTTATGAAAAGCAATGCATCACATCGTAAAATGCAGAGGAAATATAAAGTAACGAATGCAATTGTGGAACTTGTTGACATATTTCCAACGATCGCAGATTTAGCAGGTGTGCCTGTACCAATATGTCAAATTAATAATAGAGACCATAAGTTAAGCAATCTCACTTATCAGAAGGAACCCGATCTTTGTAGCGAAGGTATCACACTTCTACCACTCATAGAGAGTATCTCAAAATACCAGGTGAGACATCCTGTTTTGAGATACACTAAACGACTTTACAAAAATAATGTACAAAATAAAAAAATATCATTCTCATATTTGTAAAAATTTAGAAGGTATCCTGGAAAAAGGCAGCATTTAGTCAGTATCCGAGACCAGGACTTCAACCTACGCTCCATCCCAACAGCGATAAGCCACATTTGAAAGAAATAACTATAATGGGTTACACTGTGAAAACCAATAATTACCGTTACATTGCGTGGATACCATTTGCGTACGAAACGTGCAAGCCGGATTGGGATGTTATTATCGCGGAGGAATTATATGATCACAAGACAGATAGAGCAGAAGATTTCAATATAGCGGCCGTGCCAAATATGCTAAGTATAAAAGAATATCTAAAGTCGTTGTTAAAAAATGGGTGGAGAAGCACTCTTCCAACATACTAAACTTTGATGCTTTAATGCCATGTAAGTAATTATCATCAATGTGTTTAACATGTATCTATCTTAAATATTAATGAAACTTCTTGCTTGTTTATGTAGCACATATGTAGCTAAACTTAAACTTATAAATTAGAAAATTAAACAACAATTATTTAGATGTCGCTAAATTTATAAAATAAAATACATGATCTAACGAAATCTTATCAAATTTTTTGTTAATGTTCTATTGATAGATTTCTTCCTAATTAATATATCATGAAACTCTCCAAAATTAATTTATAAAATACTTATGAAAGAATTGTAATTGTAATAAAACATGAATGAGTAGAAAAGAAACATTATGTATACATACGTACATAAACTTATGTATACTAATAATGTAAAATAAAAATTATCTTTATTTAATAGTAAGTTAATAAACTATGAAATATATAAGCCAGCCTCTTTGAGGCATACTCTACACTTTTTTCGAATATCTACTTCTATAAAAGATTTGCAATACGAGATCTTAATATGCGTCTAACTATATTATTTTGTATCGCACAATCTATACAAGAAAATTTCGACGGTATCAAACATGAGACTCGTCTAGATGTATTATAAAACTAATTATGTGGTTAACTGTAGTAATATAGCTCTATTATAATATCTAATAGTAATCATTCTCAAATATTTTTTTTATATTACATAAGAAAATAACATTAAAGATAAATAATACACACGTTCGTATACAATCCATATTTTTTTTTAAAAACTTATCTATATATATATATATATATATATATATATATATATATATATATATATATAT